TGTAAAAATATTTCTAAACTAGTAGTACTAAGTTTTTTGAAAAGTATATAAGGCATGCCATCAAGACCATAGGCAGTATCTCTTCTGGAAGTTAAGGCTGATAGCAATTCTTGTATAGAAAAAGAGTTAAAAAGAAAATTATTGCTGGGATTGGTGTTATTGTAAGGTTTTATGTCATCGGATACAAAGTCAGGTGTATATTTCTTAAGAAAATCTAAGACCCAGCTATCATCGCTCTCAGCGTTAAAATGATATGTTCTATTTTACTTGCGCATAAATTTCCATACGACAGATAATGGGGTACATCTGTTAAATGTTTCACAAAGAGAAAACCAACTTTTTTGTCTTTCCGTTTTTAAAGTAAGCTTTTGACATGCACGTAGTCTTTTAAATTGCAGGTAATTTTCTTCCGATGGATTAGCTGTGCATTTTTGGTTCAACCAAGGAAGCGAATACTTTTTAGTAATAACTTTATGACATGAGCGGCTAACAATATCAATATTGACATTAGATTGATTAGAATTTGGTAAAGAATTTGCAGCGGCTGAGCGCAAAATTGTACAAAACTGAAGATTTGAATCAAGAAGACTTAAATTATCTACTTTAAAATCAAGTAATGATTCATCAACAAAACTTCTGTACCTTTGCCAATCCACCAATAAATAGGCAAATGTGCAACATTACAACGATAGTTATATTCCTCAATATTATGTCTATTACTAATATTTACTCTTATGATTACAGGAATGTGATAACTAGTGCCAAGAGAGCTATCGTGTACACCCCATTCACAATTAAGTGCTAAGGATGAAGAAGCCAGGTTTAAATCCAGGGCATTAGAACGCCAAGTTAAAGATCCAACTGTTGTTACTTGACCATTATCAAGCAAAACTAAATTATTATTATCAATAACATCCAAAACGTCACGACCACGTATTGAGTCTGAGCCACAACCCCAAGAGCATTAAAATCTCCGAAAAATATAAAAGGTTCAGGGATAGATTTTATTAATAAATCGAAGTTACGTTTTTTGAATTCTGGATTACATTTCAAAGGACTATAAAAACTTACTATACTTACTTACTTTATTTTTACACATATATTTTGCAATCAGTTGTCGAAGTATTGACTTTATTGTAGGCAGTACTATTGTGAATAATTATTGCAACTCCGTATTGTTTGTTCTCCGTTTGTTAACAGTATCATTTATTTCAATATTATAATGTTTTATTTTTAAATTATAGGTTATTTCCTATTACAGGGTTTCCCAAACTATGGGTCGCGACCCACTGGTGGTGGGAAATATTAGCAAAACCCGTGCAAATAGCGTCATTTAAGTCAAACTGCAGATAATTTCGAAAGGTAACGTAATTTATTTTGTCGGTATGGAATAAGTACTTTATGGGTTACTGTGTCATACATGTTATTTTTATTTTCAGACTGCTGCTTTGGAGATTCGCAAAAGATATGACATGGAAGATCCAGTACTTTCTAAGTTAAAAGTTTTTGAACCAAAGTCAGCCTTGTCCATCAACTTCAGAAACCGTTTCCCAACCCTGATGCCAGTTATGGCGGTTGTACCTCGCATTGTATCACCTTCCGATAACATCTCCAAACAAGAAATAGATGACCAATGGAGAAGACTGCCTATAGCCACGGCTTGTCATCCTGAAGGCATTTGTGATGTAAGTGAGCCGGACAAGTTTTGGGCCCTATTAACAAAGACGGAGTTTCATGAATTGGCCATCTTTGCATTAGCGGTATTATCTGTTCCACACGCTAATGCCGATTGTGAACGTGTGTTCAGTAAGACTAACCTTATCAAGACCAAATTGAGAAATAGGCTGATAACTGAAACGGTCAATGGCACATTGCTTGCGACAGAATGCGTAAAGGGACCTGACCGAAAGGGTTCTTGCGTTAAATTTGAGCCGACACATTTTATGCTGAGCAGAATGAACGCTGAAAACATGTATGAAAAAAAAAAAGACAGCCACACAGGAAGATGATACAGATGATGCTCCAGATGATATAATATTTGACTATTCAGTGCATCAGCTGCAACGTAGTTTTTCTGTGCTATTAATAGCACAGAAAAACTACGTTAATCAATTTATCTAAAAATGTAACTAAATTAATAGTTTGGTTACATTTTTAGATACAATGATTGTGATTTATCTACTACAATAAATACATTATGTATTCATAATAAGTATGTTAAGTACATTATATGTTTTGTTTCGTATAACATGTATGTTTCGTTTTGTTTTGCTCACTGTTGCATTGTTTTTTAATGAAAAAATATAGTTCATTTTGATATTATGTATTTTATTAATAATAACTAATCTTGTTTCACAATAAAAATTTGGTATTAAATTAATGGTATAATGCATATTTTTTTTATGGTTTAATGATGTGTACGAGGTTGTGTTGCCAAAGTACGAGATTTTGGACCATGTCTGTACGAGGACAAGCCATCGACGTCTGGCAACCCTGCTTTTGTTTTACGAAATTCATTTTGCGATGTGTCGTGTACGTTAGCGTGCGTTATTGTAATCTCATTTGAAAATAGTTAGTTACGTTTGAAGATAATAATGGAAAAGTGGTTAAAACGGGTAGCAAAAATACCTTGTCGCCGCCAGTTGATTGCGAAAATCGTAGTGAAAATACAGATGATCTTTTGAGTGACAGAAGCGGCACTGAGTCTGACTTACAAATTCCTTCAACAATTCTTTTTTTTTTTTTTTTTTTTTTCGTTATCTCAAAGATTTTACAATAGCTGATAAGTGATTGGGACCTCCTTTTAAGCGCATAAGCACTTGTGTTAGGAGAACCCGCTCTTCCATTACATAGGTGTACCAACTAATTATAATTTAATTTAACACGTATAGCTAAGCTAAGTATTACAATTTTACAATTTACTAAACATAATCTAAGGTTAAAATGTGAATAATGATATATGTGTGTATGTGTATGTGTGTGTGTGTGTTTGTGTGTTTATGAGAATGAATTTTCATGACTGATTGTAGAAGTTGACTAATTACTAGTGTATTATGATTCATGATTACCTACAAAGGCTTCAGTGTCTTCATAGCTAAATGTTTCTAGGATGTTAAGTAGCGACGTTTTACATTCATGTTTCTTCAATGTGTATATATTTAATATTTTATTTAATTTATTATAAAGTTTAGCAGCTTGGCATTGAAATTGTCTCATAGCAAAAACTGATTTAGATCTCTCAACAGGAGCAACAGTATATTTGCGTCTTTTGCTCAGTTTGCGACCATCATATTTAAGAGACTTGTGCAATCTTAAGGTAGTGCAAAAAATGTACAGTTGCCTGACCGATAAGACACCACAAGAGGCATAAAGATCAGAGGTGGAAAATCTATAAGGCTTAAACATCATTACTTTTAGTAAAATTCTTTGTGCCCTCTCCAGATCCAGGAATTCATCTTTGTAGCACCCCCCAAACTGGGATACAGTACACTAAAATTGACTGAGCCAGCGATGTGTATATCTGTATTAGTAGATGTTTGTCAGCGATGTGCCTTAGAGTTTTAAATGTCCAAATAAGCTTTCGAATCCTACTTATAACTTGTTCTAGGTGCTCATGCCATGACATTCTTTGATCAACTACCACTCCTAGATATTTAGTGTGATGAACTTTATTTATAGTTTTACATGTACAGTTTACTCTGATGCTACAGTTATGTATTTTTATTTCTAGATCTGTTTGAGGTTGGGCGCTATTGTATTTAGTGAAGAAAATGTAGTTAGTTTTACTTACGTTTAATGATAATAAGTTTTCTCTTAACCAGTTATCTATTTTGGAAAGCCCTATTTCTGTATGTCGACGCACCGAGTCAATAGTTTTCCCAGTGAAGACAACAGCAGTGTCATCCGCGTAGGAGTAGACTTTCCCACTATCAATTCTTAAATCGCATAAGCTGTTTATGTAGATTAAGAATAAGGTCGGCCCCAGAACACTACCTTGTGGGACCCCATATGTGACGTCAGATTGTTCGCTGATGTATTGACCTATTTTAACTGCTTGCTTTCGTTCACTGAGGTAATCAGCGAACAATGTGAGTGGAATACCATTATACCAATGTTCTCTAGTCTCTGCACCAGAATAGGGACAGAAACCGTATCAAATGCCTTTTTAAGTCGATAAAAACTGTGATACATTTATTACCTTTATCAACTTCATTAACAATATGACAAGATAGTGAGGTAACTGCATCTTCGGTTGACAGACCCTGTCTAAAACCGAATTGTGAGTCTGAAAGTAGACTATACTTCTGGAGGTAGGTAATTAGTCTTTTATTAATTAATTTTTCAAGTACTTTTGATATGGCAGTGAGAACGGAGATTGGGCGATAATTTGAAACATCTTCTCTGTTACCATTCTTGTACACAGGTGTAATAATTGCTTGTTTTAGCGCAGGTGGAAACACTCCCTGTCGGAAGCAGAGATTAACCAAATGAGTAATTATGGGCACAACTAGCTCCCTAGTATATTTAAGAAACTTGGTGCTTATACCATCCCAGCCAGGAGCACTGTCAGTTTTGAGACTCACAATAGTCAGGTATACTTCATGAGGGTCAGTTTCTAGAAGCACAAAAGACGAGACCTGGGAACAGTTGGGTCTAATCACATCTGTTCTATTATGTAACGTCGTAACTGGAATTATCTCTTTTAATTATCTCTTTATTCGCGTCGAGTCAACGAAACGTCGGAAAGTGGTGAGAAAATATGACCCGGAATATCTGAAACTAGGATTTACTTGGAATCATGATACGACAGATCCGCGTCCTCAATGTGTGATTTGCTACGAAATATTAGCGAATGAAAGTATGCGCTCAAATAAGCTGACACGTCATATAGAAACAAAGCATTCCCATTCTATAAACAAGCCAGAAGACTTTTCAAAAAAAATTGTTAGAAATGAAGTCTTCTAAAAACATTGTTTCTCATTTCATTAATATCAATGAAAATGCTGTATATGCATCATACCATTGGTGAAGACTTAGTATTACCATCGATTAAAGATGCTGTTGGAGTGATGTTTGGAGAAAAAGAAGTGAAAGAAATCGAGCGCATACCACTATCGAATAATACTGTTGCGCGAAGAATTGACGAAATGGCTGAATGGACAGAAGATGAATTAATCCAGCGAATAATTAATAGTAAATATTATGCTCTGCAACTAGATGAGTCTACCGACGTGCAAGGCCTATCTCAATTAATTGTTTTTGTGCGTTATATATGGCAAGAAGAGGTGCATGAAGACATTTTGTTTTGCAAGCCAATTATTCGTGGAACAGCTGAGGTAATTTTCAACGTAATTGATTCCCATATAAAAGGAAAAGGTATACAGTGGAAGAACTGCGTCGGTATATGTACTGACGGTGCGCGGGCATTGTGCGTGAAACAAAGCAGCGTGGTTACAAGAATTCTTGAACAAAGTCCCTATGCTTCGTGGACACACTGTAGCCTTCATAGCACTTCAAGCACTGGTTTCCAAAGCATTGCCTGATGATTTCAAAACAGTTCTAAATACAGCTGTTAAAATTGTTAATTATATTAAAACAAGACCCTTGCAAGCTCGCTTATTTCGAAAGCTGTGTGAAGAAATGGGTAGTCTTCATACATCTCACCTGTTGCATACCGAAGTTCGTTGGTTATCCAGGGGAAAAGTACTGACACGATTAGTGGAATTACGCCATGAAGTTCTAATTTACTTGGAAGGAAAAACTGAATATATTGAACATCTAACGGATGAAGAATTTATTCTCAAGCTCACATATTTAGCGGATATTTTTTCGAAGTTAAATGAACTCAATTTGTATTTGCAAGGTTCAAACGGATCAAATATTTTTGCAGTTCACGATAAAATTCGGGCGTTTATGAAAAAGCTTTTGCTGTGGAAGAGTTGTATTGAGATTGGGAAGTACGATTGTTTTGAAACACTTGAAACGTTTATTGTTGAAAACCAAGTGCAGCCAAAGATGAACGTAGTCTTTGCAATTTCTGCACATTTATCATTGTTTAAAAAAAAAAATTGACGACTATTTCGGCGAGGAGATGAAAAAGCTCGACTTGATGAATTGGATTTTTAACCCATTTCAAGACCCCCTACCAACTGGTATGTCAACAAAAGCAAGTGAAGAACTAATTGATTTATCAGAAGATTCGTCACAAAACGATATAGTTAGTTTCAATCGTAAGCAATTAACGAAATTCTGGCTCTCGGTTGCTGGTAGTCATCCATGACTGTTTGATAAAGCTATGAAAGTCCTCCTCCCCTTTACTACCTCATACTTATGTGAGGCTGGGTTTTCGAATATGGTGAACATTAAAACTAAATACCGAAATAAATTGGACTTATCAAACTCACTGCGATTAAAAGTAACTAAAGTTGAAGTTGATGTCAAAACTGTAATGGCGAAACATAGGAAACAATTTCATCCTTCCCATTAAATTTATATAATTAACCCAGATAAGCCTACTGTCCTATATTTAGGACAGTAGAAATAAAAAAAAATATCAGAATACCCTCTTTATCTAAGATTATTTAGTCTTATGATTTGCAGTAAGAAACGTGTCAGCTTTATTAGAAAAAATAAAAAGACAGTTATTTTAACAGTTTTTACCTTATATTTTACCTTATAAGTGTGTAATAAAAGTGCGTTGCAGACATGGCAAATGACAGGTATGTATAAAAAGTTATATTTTACTCGTGAGTTGTTTTTTTCTGTGTTAATATCTAGTTGATAACCTTAACTTTTAAATAAATATTCTAGCAAAATAATATAAATAAATTACGTATAACTTGTTACAAATACTAGCGTACTATATATAGGACAGTAGGATAATATACATGATTTTAGTACAATAATACAACTTTTTCTTTACAGACCGTTAGCTGCGCATGAAATTTTAGATGCTTTAGAAAATGTTTCTGATAATGAAGAAGATTATAGAGAACGACTGATATGTATTCTACCTCCTCCTGTTGATCCTGACTGTCTCACTGACGAAGATTCGGGTGAAGAAGATAATGTAACTTTGAATAATTTGCCACGAAACATTCTGCTTCAACCGGCTGAAGTACTGATTCAAGGGCAGATTATGGTGAGTGATACAGAAGAAGAACCTTCTGATTCTACAGGTCGAACTAAACGTAGGCGTACCTACGCATGGAGAAAACTAGACTTGGCAAAAAATCCCGTGAATTGGCCAGATGTTCAAGGCGCTTGCCAAGATAAGCGCCCAATTGAGTGGTTTGAAAACTTCTTAGATGAAGATGTTATTTCGTTGTTGGTGTCAGAGAGCAATAAATATGCTGTCAAAAAGAATTTGCCTGGAGACATAACCACTGAAGATATGAAATGTTTCATCGGCATATTGTTGGTTAGTGGTTATTCATGGCTCCCCCGTAGAAGAATGTATTGGGAAAACTCCCCTGATACAAAGAATGAATTGATCAGCTCGGCTATGACTAGGGATAGATTTGACTTTATTTTTCGCCACCTTCATGTCAATAATAATCTGGATTTGCAAGACAAATACACAAAAGTACGCCCCCTAGTTACACTAATTATAGGCCTATCAGCTTACTGTCCGCCCTATATAAACTATTTTCAGCATTGTTACTAAGTAGAATAACAGAAAAAATAGATCAGAGACAATCAATAGATCAGGCAGGCTTCCGCTCTAGCTTTTCCACAATAGATCACATACATACCATAGAACAACTTCTAGAAAAATTCAAAGAATTTAATCAACCTCTCTATATTGGGTTTGTAGATTACCAAAAAGCATTTGACACCATCACCCACAGCTCTATATGGAAAGCTTTACAGGCTTGTGACATAGACACAAGCTACATTAACATAATTAAAGATATTTACTCTAGGAACACAAGCAGAGTAAAACTCGAAAAAACAGGAGAAAATATAACCATCAACAGAGGTGTAAGACAAGGAGAGATCCACTGTCACCCAAATTGTTTATAGCAGTCTTAGAAACTGTATTCCAAAAATTTGACTGGAGTAAAAAGGGAATTTGGATTCATGAAAAACATTTGAGTCACTTAAGGTTTGCAGATGACATAGCTGTTTTTGCTAAATCAGCACAGGAACTGGAACAAATGATGCAATACCTGAACAAGTAAAGCAAAAAAGTAGGGCTGTATATGAACGCTACAAAAACAAAAATAATAACAAATAGCAGTAGGAAGCCAATTCAAATAGACGGAGTCTGCATTGAATATGTTAAAGACTACATTTATCTAGGTAAATTGATATAATTTGAACCAAACAGCAACGACGATGAGGTAGAACGAAGAATCAAAAACTCATGGAAAAGTTTCTGGTCTCATAAAGAAATACTCAAAGAAACCTATAACTTAGAAGTAAAGAGAACAGTAATGGACACATGTATTTTACCTTGTCTAACATATGCAAGCCAAACATAGGTATTCACTAACAAAGTGAGAAACAGATTGCTTACGACACAACATGCTATGGAAAGGAGCATACTGAAAATTAAGAAGATACAAAAGTCAAAGAACAAAGACATACGCCAACAAACTAAATTAACTGATGCTCTTAGGCACGCCTTAAGAATGAAATGGCAATGGACAGGACATATCTCTCGATACATCAACAAAAGATGGACTGTACAAACTACAAAATGGACTGGTCCACTTGGTAAGAGAAACATAGGTCGACCCAAAAAATGGGTGGGTGGATGACATAGTCAAAGTAGCAGGCGGAAACTGGATTACTACAGCTACAAAAAGAATAAAATGGAAAAAAATGGAGGAGGCTTTTACCCAGAGGGATCCAAACTTTGAATATACTAATGTTACACATACTAACATAGACTAAGATTACTACATATTACTAACATATAAAATATTCTTACTTCTTTTTTGTACCTTATAGAGTTTGGAATAAATAAAGATATAATAATAATAATTAAAACAATGCATGTAATGGAGTTGCAATACTGATAAAACCATACTCGATGGAGATAATCTTGCCTGAAGGGACAAATGTTGATGGCTTAAGTAGTAAAGCACTAACGCTTGATGTTGAGATGGTTTCGGCCGAAATAAATGTTCCTAAAGCATTAAGTGTACAGAACGTCCTAACAAGTGTAAATTCGGCAACGGCGCTTGCCAATCAAGATCTGAAAATAGAAAATATTGAAACCGCCGAACAAAAACTTGAAGCAACTAATTGTTCACCCAGAAATGATACGTCCTGTATAGAAGATTTAGCTTTGCAAACTGTTAACAGAGCTTCTACTAGCAAAGATGTTTTTGTCGTTTCAATTCAAGGGGTTTCAGCCAGTAGCGACACGTCACTAACGACTAAGAAAGCCGACTGCAATACGCAGATTTGTTTGGTTTGTACCAAAGAAACAACTGGAGCTCATAGTTGTAGATCGTGCTTTAAACCAGTTCACGTTATATGTGGTCTCACTGACGGTGAAGAAGGTTACGGGTCTCAGATTTTATGTTTCATATGCAAAAGAGAACAAGACATTGCAAAAGAAAGAGCACAAACTCTTAAAGGTACCAAACGGGCTGCAGAAAAAATGATTGACCAAACAGTCAAAAAGCTTCCGTTATTAGAAGTTGGTAATAGCGTCTTGATAAATGTTCCAAAATTTGATCGTGGACCACTTGATACCAAGAACATCGCAGGTAAAATTGTTGACATTAGGAATGGTGTATTTAAAATTGGTACTACTTCTGGAACAATAAAAAACTGGTTCCCGAGACAAGAATTACAAATTTCAGCCAAAGATTATAATGGAGACATTTCTGAATCATTTATAACATTGCGTCATGCAGTCACATGTCAGTCCATGTTTGGAGGTCAAGGTTTCCAGAAATGCTCCTGCAGGCCTGCCAGAAATCAATGTCACACCAAAAGGTGTGCATGTTATAAGAATAATGTTCTCTGCACTTCAAAATGTCATCAAAGTATATCATGCATCAACAAATGATAGATATCTCAAAAAATATTTGACTTTCCTTTAATATTCAATACAAAGTTTATTTTCAACTGATTAAGTCTGTTGTTAGTCTGATTGAGGAACACTTTTTAAGTAGGTACCTATTTAATGTTTATAAACATTTTTTAATTTAATTTCTCTTTCTGCATGGCGGTTGTCGGGTTGTATTACCTATTTCTAAAGATTTTTTAGGTATTTAAATGTTACGAACGTTTGGTTTGTTATCTTATTTTATTACCAAAGGGCTGTGATTGAATGTGCCATTTTTAGAATTTTTTGACGATGTTATTAATGTTTGTCATATTTAATAACAAATAATAGGTAACTATTCTTTGAAAAACTATTTGACGTTCCTATTAATATAAGTTTGTTTTCAACTGATTAATGAGTCTGATTATTTAGTTACACTTTATTATTTAAAGGGGTTAAATATAATGATCACCATAAAATGCTTTGATACCCTTAGTTCTTTTACCAAAAATATATACTTAACACCAGATAAATAACGTCTAAAATTACAATAGTACTAGCTATTTTAGTCACGACTGCACTTCAAATTGTATTCGAACACCAAATGTAGTAAATGATCACCAAATCTTAGCGAGCAAATTAATGCGCTATTTCTGCCTAAATAAACCACTATGATTGACATAAAATGTAGGCTTATTACCAAATGAAGCATTATGATGCCATATTAAGTTATGTCTGCGGCTTACGATCCTCTCCCACCACACCGCAAGCGCCGCGCACGCCCGGACACGATCGCCAATTTAGTCGCGTGCGAGCACTTGCTTTTATTGGGTGTGTTTTGGTATCTATCTTCTTTGCAATGGCGAATGAAAACTTAGCGGGACCGAGTTCGTGTGCTCCGCTGTTGAGTACTTCATCGGAATCAGATGAAGACGAATATAAAATCACAGAGCATACGAAAAACGTCGAAGGCAAAATAAAGTTTGGGTTTTTGAAAGAAAATTTATAACTGTGCGGAGCGCTGAGGAATTTATCAAAAATGAGAAGACCTGGTCAATACAAAAAATTCATACGACTGAAGAAGGAGTAAAACGTTACTATCGTTGTAACAAAGTGAAGCTTCGGGCTGAAATTCAGTGTTCTGCCGCGATTTATCTTTTATTTGACGCATCGTGTGATGATATATTATTATTTCGTACTGAAACATGTCACGACCATGAAAATTCTGACTGTCAGTCGACTAGGGGAATAAATGAGGCAACGAAAAAGGAAATAGAAAAACTATTCGAACTGCGTTTGAAACCTAAATCTATTATGAAGAACTTAAGTAAAATTAATGGACTAGTTCTGCCGACTAAGTTACAGTTAAACAATTATCTTAAAATCATACGTAAGAAAAAATACGGGCCATCGGTAATAAGCTTGGGACAGCTTGAATTATGGTTAAAAGAAAACTCTGAAATACCTGATGACGGTCACGAAGTTTTTGTTTTGGCGTATGAAATTTCTGAAGATGATTTAGATCAGAACTTCCGGTTCATGTTAACGACGAAATATTTAATTGGTCTATCACGCCAATGTTCTGTTCTTCACGCGGATGCCACATATAAGCTCATTTGGCAAGGGTTTCCAGTACTTGTGATTGGAACTACAGACAGAGATAAACATTTTCACCCATTTGGATTAGCTGTGACAACAGCTGAACGAACGGAAGACTTCATATTTTTATTTTCCGCATTAAAAAAAAGCAGTTTTCTCAATATTTTCATACACTTTAAGTTGTAAAGTTTTGGTCTGTGATGCAGCGAAGGCTATACAAACTGCCTTTGCGTGCACATTTGGAACAGATACAGTCATAAGAATGTGCTGGGCGCATGCGAAAAAGAAGATGCAAACAAGAGTAGAGCAAAGTGTGCAAAAGAAATCCCAAAAAGAGATCTTACAAGATATTGATGCTTTACAGTGTGCCTCAACTCAGGAAATATTTGATCGAGCCAGCGAAAAATTTTTGGACAAGTGGAAAGCCGAAAAAGATTTTGTTACATACTTTGAAAATGAATGGCTAATACTAAATCGTTTCTGGTATTTGGGCGCATCTCTGGGGACTCCTGCTACAAACAATGCTCTGGAATCTTTCAATAAAACAATAAAAGATGGTGGCACGCTTCGTGAGCGTCATCCTTTGGCGCGGTTCTTAGTAATTGCTTCTGATATAGTCAAGGACTGGTCTAATGAATACGTGATTAATAATACTGAGAGACGGTTCGCTCAACTGCCGACAGTATCTTTAAAGATGTGGACAGAAAGTTACCAATGGGCAAAACTGTCGAAGCAGGTGCCATTAAAGAATAGTACTGAGCTAGTTTGCTCATACAGAATTCCAGCTGGGTCGGATTTAGATTGCAAAAATTATGAAAAGCCATGGGAGACCTTTGACGAATACAAAGAGCAACATTTTAGAGAGTGGGAAGTTATAATGCCCCGAGAAAAGGAAAATTGGTTACACGGCACATGCAATTGCCCAAAGTTTCTCAAAGATTACATTTGCAAGCATCTCGTTGGATTGGCGATTCGGCTTAAGCACGTCCAGCCACCTTCAGAGGCCAGAGCTATTCCGATTGGCATGAAGCGCAAAAGAGGACGACCAGCCAAAGCTA